TTTTAAGTCAATATAAAAAAATTCAAGTTTGTAGCATCTTTTTAATTAAATATTTTCAGAGGAGGATATATACACAGGTCACTAGATGACAAAAAGTATTATATACATTCCTCCTATTTCAGTGCAACAGAAAACTATGTTGATGCAAAGAATTCATTTAAAGGCTGTTAATAAAAATAGACAAAACAGCAGGAAATTCAAAGTTATGATTCATCACAGCAACAGTAAGTGGAGTTTGGTATCACAGTGTATGCCATTAATTTTATGCCATAACTATACTCCTGACAATGCTGAGTTACAGTGTTTGTGGGAGTTATAGGCCAGTTATTCAGACAATTGAGGTGTGCCCACGTATCCTGAGAAATTGTTCATCAAAATGGCTAACTGGATGGATTTGAAAGTGCAGTCATGACAACTCTATGTAAATTAGGAGCACAAGTGTGCACCATACTTATCTGAAATTCTGGCCTCACTACTGTGAATTCCCTGACTATTTTGCACTAGCAATAAAGTTGCATTCAGTCAGGCTTTTTGGCATAAAAATAATAGTAACCTCCCCCAGGACTGTGATTGATTGCATAAAGGCTAGGTCAAATTAATCACTGGGGTAAGGAGGGCACTTCCACTGATGTCAGATGCTTGTATTCCCACTGACTGATTTTATCTGAACATGAAAAGGTGAGTTCTGTTTAAATTCAAGATTTCTAAAACACGGAGACTAAGCATGCAAAATATCAGCTCCAAGATCATAGTTCCAAAAAGCTAGAAGATGCTTAAAATGAAAATAGCTCTCTCATTTATAACCACAATTAAAATAGCTTTCAGGAAAGAATAAATAAGACTTGCAAAGCCTGATGTGGATGTAAATGATCTTGCTTCGGCTGACAGCTGACCTCCATTGCTAAAAGGACCAATGCCATCTGTTGGAACCTATCGCAGACACAGCAATCTCTCATGCCAACCAGCTACTTGAGATGGACAAAGCTACAATACTATCTTGGTATGAAGAGGCAGATGAGAGTTTTGCGGGGCTCAGGGCACGGGGCCTATTGAAGTGCGGGGTCCGGGGCAGGGCCCGGGACAGCCGTCCCGCTCGCTCTGCCCTATATCCACCTACAGTGCAGCTGACAGCGGTCCTGGGCTACAAGGTGCAGAATACACCAGCTCCAGTTGGGTATTGAAGGGATTCACCACCGTGTAGAAATCAATGAAGTTTTGTTCACCAAATAATCCTTGGTAGAAAGGCCAAGGATTTAAACGGACTGACTCTCTCACTGCAAAAGGAGCCTGACAATCAGCAGTGAGGTATGTTATTGAAGCAGTGGAGGGTGAGAGAAGTTTGGCGGGGGAGAGAAGCGGAGGGGGAGAGAAGCAGAGGAGGAAAAACAGACGATCTACATCTTTAGACCGTATGTAGTACATCGCTAACCTAGGCCACAAAGGGTGTGTCTACACTGTACTCATAGCTCGAAATAAGATACGCAATTTGAGCTATGCAAATTGCAAAGCTTATTTCGAGTCAATTTTGAAATAGCTTATTTATTACTCCTTATGGAATGAGGTTTACAGGGACGTCAGAGTAGCGAGCCTGTTATCTTTCGAAATAACAGGCACGCTCATAAGACACAGAATAGCTATTTCGGGATACCTCCGGTACCCCAAAATAGCGCTGCAGTGTAGACACAGCCAAAGAGATACATACTCAGTTTTGCTGTGAGACCTCCATATACTTTGTGTGACTAACAGGAACCCAGACACGACTCACAGGAACCCGTTACTAAGGCAGACTAATATTTTATGGAGCTCATTGGAACAGACTCCAATAAAAACCTCACAAAATAAATCATACACAAGAAAGTAGCTAAAAATAGAAGGAATGGAAGCAAAAGTAAAACACTGGAACCTTGTACATCTTTACTTCTAGCAAAATATTAAGCAGGATGGATGTGGGGAAAAGGGAACATGCTTTTACAGTCTGATAACTTTTTAGTCTATTAAAATGTGTATTTAAATTTGGGCAGAGAGCTTTAAAAGATTCAAATAGATGCAAGCACAGGGCTTTAAGAACAAATACGTGAACTATAAAAGTCAGAGTAAGGAAGCTGGAATTGTGAGGCCTCAAATTCAGGACCCCTCACGTTTCTTCCCCTCATGTCTACACTGCAACACTATTTCAAAATAACTATTCTAAAATAACTTAGTCCGCGTCTACACAGCAGGCAGTTATTTCAAAACAGTGTCAAAATACTATCAAGCTGGAGGACTTTTGACTCCGTTTCCTGTAACCCTCATTACACGAGGAGTAAGGGAAGTCGGAGGAAGAGTGCTCTATTTCGAAATAAGTTATTTCAAAGTAAGATTCACAATTGACAACGCTCAATTTGTGTAGCTTATTTCGAGTTAAGCCCTGCAGTGTAGACATACCCAGACATTAATCATTGTGACCTTTAGAAAAGTAACTTCTTTGTGCCTACTTTAGCTATACTAACTCTCCAAACCACATGGATATTGCAAGTGGTAGCACCACATTGTAAGAGAGCACACAGGCCAACAGATCAGGCAGGAAAAGGGAAAAAGAAATGAAATATCACACCCATGAGGGAATGAGGCAGAGAGAGGATAAACGGCCTCTCCCAAGACCCACAGGAAGTCTTCTGGAGAACCAGCAACTCAACCCAGTGCACCATAATACAGTTTTTGCTGAGTAATGAGACAGACATGGAGAGTGCGTCGGATCACGCCCATTTGAAAATTATACTGAAGTCTCCACTGCAACCACCTTGTCAAGTATCACTGCGACATACTGTCAAGTTCCAACATTCCTCATGTCCCAAGAGAGATCTTCAGATCTTCACAGGAACCTAGTGAATGTGTTCTCCTGATGTAACAAATCAATATACCGCCCCTCCCCTGGACAGGCTCTCTCCAAAAGTGTGTGAAGTGGCTCAAGGTGCCCACTCACAGGCAGACCTGCAAATGCTAATCATCTTCTGAAGACTGACAATCATTAATGAGGTTTCTCTCTTGGGTAGACAGATACCAAAATATGAGCTTCTCTCCTTAGAGGGTGATAATGGATTTCTTACTTTTTTTGCATTAAGGAGATTTGAGGCTTACATTCTCTCAAGAAGGGAAACAAGAGCAAATAATGATCTCAAGCTAATTTTGTAGCGTGCATAGCAGTCATTTGTCATGTTACTGAAGTAAGTCACCAACAATGTGTTTAACCTCATACTGCCCATGTTATAGAAAGAGAAACTGAGGCATAAATAGATCAAGTGATTTCTTCAAGGTAAGTCAGTAAGGCTAAGGCAGAGCTGGGAATAGATCCCAGAAGTGCTAACTAACAGTCCTGTACTTTAACCATAAGACCATCTTTCCTCTGTGAGTTAGAATGGATGTTTCAAAGTTTGGGGTTGTTCTAAAACTGGGTTTTGGTTTGTGCCATTATGAACATGGAGAAAGCTGCAAAATAAACAGTTAGATCCAGTTTATAATTTTTCAGATGCTTAGGGAGGTTCAAATCTAGAGTAGAGTTCTGATTAGTCTCAGACGCAGAGTCATTCAAAAGCTAGGTTTTAATCCAAGCCCATCCCTACAAACGGGTAAGAACTTTGGACAGCATAGCGTCCAATGGTGCTTGGAGCTTGACAAACAAAACCCTGGGTGAAATATCTTGGCTGATGTGATGCAGCAGGTGAGATTAGATGATTAAGGTGGTTCTTTGTGGTCTTAACATCTGTCATAATCTGGACATACACTGGTTATAGAAACTAGTTGCAACACAGCCCACTTCCTGTTGGAGGAGACACGCAGCAGAACCAGTGACTGGAGCCTATGGCAACTCAAGTCAATAGTGACTGAAAGCTGTTACCTTGTGCTGCTTGTTCAAATGACTTATGGGACATGAACTGGTGTTTTCAGTCCCGTTCCACAAGGACAGGCATCCGACATCCCAGCCGGCCCTAAAGGAGAACCTGGCTGGCAGAACCAGCAGATATACTGAGGAACAATGCCCCAGGAAGTGAAGCATTCTCACTAATTCCAGGGGTCCCTTTAGCTCCTGTCTGAGGCACACTGGTGGGCAGCTTCCTCCACTGCAGCCGATAAAGTCCCTGGCCCAGGGCAGTGGTTTTCAAACTATTTTTCTCATGACCCAGTTGAAGAAAATACTTGATGCTCGTGACCCAATATAATTTGACAAGAGTGTGGGCTCTGGGGTGGGGTTGAGGATTACAGCTTTGAAGTGTAGGAGAGGGCTCTGGTTCTGGGAGGAGGGTCAGGGCTGGCAGGGCTAGGGAAGGAGAGCAGCTCCTGGTCAGCAGAGGTGCTAAAGCAGGCTGCCTGCCTCTCCTGGAACCGCAGACCATACAGTGCTCCAGAAACAGCCAGCAGCACATTCCCAGCCAATGGGAGTGCGGCATTAGTGCTTGGATTCGGGACAGTGTGTGAAGCTGTGTGTGCTCTCTCCCCCACAACTAGGAGCCAGCCTGGGCCTGCTGCCAGCTGCTTCTGAAGTGCAATGCCAACGCAGACAGGTAGCCTGCTTTCGCACCCCTGCTGGTCACCCGATCACCCTGCAGCAACAAGACCTGGTGCCTGACATTCCATGACCCAGGATGATGTGAAGTTTCAAAACTACTGGCCTCGGATATAACGGAGAACTTTGCCAGCTTCCACCAGCATAAAACTCCGTTACAAAATAATCTCACAAAAGGTTAAAAAAGGACTAAGGCCAGACTCTTTTCTGGAGCCAAACTGGTGCAGGAACAGGGTGAGAAGAGTTACAAAAGGCCATGCCTTTTCTCCATTAGACACACTTGTGCTTGAGGCCAGAAGGGAAAGTATCATAAGTTGTTACACAGGGCATCTGGCACTAGAGGACTATCTGGCACAGGGGAAATCCTCTACTGGCTAGAAAAACTTGACTGTCAGGCTGTTTTGAGGTGCTAGAAGGTGGCCACCAGCCTAAGACATAACATCAGTTTGTTTTTCCTTACCCGCTTTTGACTGCAGCGTACAATGAGGAAGGTTTCTATGCTATGCTCCTTGAGGTAAGCATTGCGTTCTCCTCCAAAACCCAGCTCCACCTCGTAGTCTCCATTCAGATAATTCAAGGTCGCTTTGGTAATGTGGATTCGCCTTGAAAGAGACAAAAGGCAATTTGTGGGGTTCATTAGGCAGACATGGGTCTACAAAGACATATGACATGTAAACTCTGTTGTACCTAGCTTTCCATGCCACATTAACCATGATAGTACCCAGGTGACTCGCAGAGGTATGCCAGCAGGAAAATGACCTCTGTTTTCTACTTTTCCCTCCTAGAGGAGCGTAAATGTGGAAGCACATACAAAATAATAATTTCATGTGGAAGCTATGCCCGAGAGCTGGTCTTCCATTGGTCCTTAAGGTATCAAAATGGACATTTATTTGGATCGCTGATGGAAGGATGGTGACCAGGTGATATCTAGGATGTTCTCGCGTAAATGTGACCCACTATGATAGGGATCACACAGAGACATTAATCCCAGGTGTCACTTCATCAATTTTATTGGAATTACAAAGAGGATGAATTCCATTCTTTGCATATAAGCTGTGCCCGCCATGGGTGATTGCAGACCTATTGTGGACAGAAGTGCAGGACTAAGAGGAAATAAACCAGCCAGTGAGAGCCCAAATTCAAAATTCCGCACCACACTCCTGCCATGACAGACAAACTCACCAAAATCCTCCTGCAGGTCAAAAGCAAAACTGTCACATGCAATGACTTTGGTGAAGCAATAACTTACCCTGCTTTACCTCCAGCTTCCATGTGATTGGCTAGTGTGACGTCATTTGACCACACATCAAACTGCCACTTCCTGAGGCCCAACACTCCACAGTGAACTCTTCCGCTGTGGATCCCAACCCTCATGTTTACGTTGACTCCTGTCACCTCCCGGACCAATCTGAAAAGAGAAGCAGAAAAAGAAGGCTGTCTCAGGGAATTATGTGCCTGTATCCAGTGACATAACTTGGTTCCAAGAGTGCAAAATTCACAATTCCCTAAAAATTATTCAAACACACACAAAGGGCTGCTCATCCATAGTACTTTAGACAGGCTGTACTGCACTTTGATAGTTTGGCTAGCCACGCAGACTACTAATTAGACAGGGATGTCCTTGGAATAAGTCCTTGCCCTCTCAAGTTGGTCACAAGTTCAGAGCAATCGGAAAAATTCTTTGGGAGGTTGAGAGCCATAACCCTTGGTCTTTGGTTTCCAGACCAAAACTGGACATAACCACCCCGCTCTCTGAACCTCATTAAAATAATAGCATGTTGCAAAGAGAAAAAGGAAATTATTTCAGAGCTCGTCATTTGTGTGTATGGCACCAGGCATCAAATGTTCCCTGGACGAAACTTGATATGTGTGTGAAATACCCGCTGCAGTTGGAAACCTTGAACTGAGTGTTCAGCTGCAGCCATAGGAAACCACAGAACCACATCATCTGCACTCCCTCAAGTGGGCAGCTACACACACTCAGACTCTGATTTTAATGAGCTCTTGGATCCTCTCTTTGCTCCCGAAATGATCACTGTAATACTTGGTGGGTTTTTCCTTTTTAGGGCATAAGTTTACTTGAAGAGCTTTTCACATGGAAATCGTTTGGGGGAATGTACAAAGGGTCTCATGGCCTCATTCATACCAAATGTGGCTGCTGATAATCCCATTGTTACCAGAATGTCCGTGTTTCACAGAGAAACTCACCTGACCCTGGGTTGTCTATGGGGTTAAGGCAGCGTCAGGGCACAAAGAACAATCTGGACTCGATGGCCTCCTGACAGCTCTTCCAGCCCTATGGCTCTATGATTCTATCAGTAGTTGATTTTATGGTCCAGATCCTGTATTTTTCAGTGAATGCAGGGCCTTACTGTTGTGTGCAAGGCAAACCCTACTCACTACAGTAAATCCTGATCATTGCCCTGTTCTGCTCCTGCAAAGACAGTCTGATCTGGGTCAGAAGGGGGCCTGCATGGACAAGGAGATGATAATTCTCCAAGCATCTAGTGCATTCTGCCCTAATCACCTGGTATGGGGCTCCCACAACCTCATGTTTGGCAACAACTGCAGAGGGTCTGCAAGCAACAATCAATACAATAAACTGACCCACGTTCAATTGCATTTGTTCCTTATTCTTTCGAGGCGAAAGAAGGGGAAAAAATGGTTCTATAAAAGTGTTATTTTCAACTCAACAGCCTGATCGGGATTGAGATCTCATTGTTCCAGTGCTATACAAACAGAGAGACAGACACGGTACCTCTCCCCTTGAACTTAGAATCTAAAAAATGATACGTTGTTAATGGCAAACGCTTGACACTTTGACTCATCATGAACCATGTTATCATTGAACCTTGTCTCATTGCTGCCAAATGAATTGATAACACGGGCTGTTGATTGTTTCCCCGTGCTTTCTAAAACATATATTCATAAATACAAGCCTATCTTTCCACTTACTCATGGTGGTACTTACATGTCCCCTGTGCAATCTAGCTTTGAGAACATCTATTTGAAACTCATTATGCCTATGTTAACTGATCTGCTCAGAGCTCAAACTACTGAATATAGGTCCAATTCTGTGATGTGGTGAGTGTCCACAATTCCCACTGATTTCATAAAGAGCCAATATGCGTTCAGTCCTTTTGCAGGATCAGCTCCTAGAGCACTGAAGGATCTAAAACAGAAAAGTAAAGGTGCTGCCGTTCTCATCTCATTCAGTTCTGTAAATGTGATTGAATTTCCACTTCATCTTGATCAAGTCTCAAAGTACCTACTTTATTGTGCTGGGTACAGTACATCCTTATTATTAGGATTTTTTCAAGGACACTAACACCCACAGCTGTGTCTCAATTTTTAGAGCACAAGTATGTGCCTTGAAAAGCAGCAATTCCACCTAGGAGACCTCAGTCTAAGACTAGTATGCAACAACGATTCCCCATCTCACATGCAATGCACACCCAGACTATTATATCTGTACTTTCACTTAGTTTTATACGTTGCTTCCTTGCACTTCTCACCTTTGCGATCTGTACAAAAGGAGCTGAGAATAACCTACTTTCAATGGCTGTAGTAAAGAATCCCATAGTTTTGATGTGGAATACAAAGATGTGGCAGGCTGGGCAGCATCTTATTAAATGCTAAAAGGAATCATTTCCAACAACCTGTGCTACAAAGAAAACACTCAGTTTATCACATTTAACAGCAAAGGCCTCGCTTTCGACAGGGGGTGGCTTGAAAGAATGTTTAGCCCATGGCAGATTGTTTTGAGAACTTCTTGCTCAGCTGAGAAAAGGGGTATGTCTACACTGCAGTGAAAACCCCTGCAGCCGGCCCTCGTCAGCTGGGCTGTGGGGCTACAAAACTGCAGTGCAGCTTCGGGATGTTAAGAGTGTATCTGAATAATCGTTTAACAAATAAGCTGATGCTTATCAGTTAATGGTATCGGTTACACTCACACAACATCCGTGGAGATGCCTTCCCTGCGGCAGGGCAGCAAAGCCTCCTCCCCAGGAGCCGGGTGGGCAAGGGTTGCCCTCTCTGCCCCCAGAGAGGTGGCTTCACTGCCACAGAGACGCTGCTTCCCCGGGACCCAGGCTCCCCTCCCAGGAATGCTTCACTGAAGGCTCCGCATAGCTTTACACTGCGGAGTCCGTAGCATGTGTAACCCTGTAACCATACTAAGATTTTCAGCAGATACACGGTGACCATATTAAACAATTGTTAACATCCCTGGTGTAGATGGCTGGGGCTGGAGCCTGGATTCTGGGACCCGATGATGAGCATTCACAATGAAGCTTTATAACCCTGCAGCCTGAGCCCCACAAGCCTGAGTCAGGCGACAGGCCAGCTGAAGGGGTTTAATTGCTGAGTAGACAGCCTATGAAGCCTGAAGAGTTTAGGATTCTTTATTGAACTCCAACCCACTTTGGCTTGCAAAAAATACTAGTACCCCTGGGTCTACAAATAACTCCTCCTCAACCTTTTAAGGTGGGCTCACACTTTGTATGGGATGAAAGGCATTTAACCATCTTATTCTTTGCTAAATCTGGAATAAGCGATTTTCTGTTCTCTCTCCCACGGCCTCCTCCACCCTCTACCTACCCTGAGGAACGCAGAGAAAATGTTTCAGATTTATTAACAGTGACATGGATCTCTTGAACATTGCAAAAGAGACTTTATCTTTGCGGGGCATGGCAGTAGTTACTGTGTGTAGTAACTTTTGGCTGTGCACAGGGACAGCAAATTGGGTGTTGAACGCTACCGTTCTGACCTGGTGGCCTTATACACTCTCTCAGTGTAGGGTAAACGACTGAAAAGGGACAATGCAATGAAGCATCAGGCAGCAGATCAGACAGACCCAGCTGTTTGCTGCTAAGTAATTAGACTGAAAGAAGCAGTCTGCCCACCAACAAAGAAATCCTCTGGTCTTGTGCCTGTCCTCAGGCAGATGATTCGGCACAGATTGGGTGAGGGGGCAATCTGTGGCAATTGCAAGGAAGAGACGATCCTCTTTTCCCATATCGCAAGCCAGGATCCCTCTAATCATTTCCATCCATGTGCAGAATAATGTTATGTGCACCGAGGCACGTGTGAATGTGCACCACCAGCGGAAACAAAAAACCTAGCCATGTGTACTCTGCTAATCATCTGGGCAGAATCTGAATCTTTTCTGAGTGGCTGCACAAGCACATAGCTTAAGGGGGACATTGATCCCAGGTAATATTCTGCAGCTGCTATTGGTTCCACTAGCCTCCCTGGTTGTAGCACCAGCAACATCCTTCAGTGCCCTGAACCTAATCACTCTCCAAGATGGCATTCTTGGAGCCCTTTTGGTGTGCAGGACCCTATCATACAGTCCTCATGCAGCTTCACCAACATCCTGCCCTAACCTCTCCTCCTCCTTTATGTTACGTTTGCAGCCTATTGCACTGTTTCCACTGCAGGGCAGCATATAGCATTTCTCCCAGTAAGAAACAAAAGGGTAAGCTACTGCAGCATGACCAGGGGTCTACTCTGTTGAAAAATTCTGTTTTGGGACTAATACTTTCCATGCCTAGGATTACCTATCCCAGCTGGGAGGAGGAGGTAGAGCACTATAGATGCCCTAGCTGATTCTAGTGGTCTCAAGTTTCTGTCTGTCTACTGTCAGCTTCATTTGTGTGCTCATCCCAAATGCACCTGCTCTCTGCTGGTCTCTCGCTCAATGAGCTAGCTACCTCATGCATTATGAGGTGGAATACATTTCCCTCCCTGGGGATCTGGTACTTACGAGATTGCCTCTATCATATCCATTCCCATCTCAACACAGCAGTGTGCATGATCAGCTCTTGCTTCTGGCAACCCGGACACGCAGTAATAGCAATCGCCCAAGATCTTTATACGTAAACAATGATTTTCCTACAAAGAAAAAAGAAAGAGAGGGAGAAGTATGAAACTTCAAGTCATGCTTGCAATAACTTGCCTTTTAGGGCAGTGAATGTTAGAAATCCAGTGAACCGGTGCAGTATGTCAATCATGTAACAGGAACCAAAATCAGAATTATAAATGAAAACTTACAGCGGCAAGCTTATCAAATCTGGCAAAGAGCTCATTCAGCGTCATGACCAGCTCCTGAGCTGTACACTGGGAGGCCAGGCTGGTGAAACCCTCTATGTCTGCAAAGAGGATGCTATGGGAAAAAAAGAAAGACATAGGCACAAGTGCCATTAAATTATTGCCTCTTTTGAATGGCCACCAAAGAACTATTCACATACAGAATCTCTGATACGTGATCACTACTGAGGATAGAGGGCAGCAACCCGACAGCCAAGGAGCATGCTGCAAAACAAGGAGGGGATGACATTATTGCCATTGTAATGGGGCAAACCACCATTCTTACAAGAAATGCCACAGTATCTTTAACATCTACATAGAGCAGGTAAGACCAAGGCTGTTAAGATTTCATCCAAGAGACCCTCCAAACTCAACCCTTCTTTGACACACGCAGACATGAAACTCAATTATTCTACTGAATATCAGACCATACTGCATGAAATAATTTTGGTTGACCAGATACTGAAATTAAAATACAGCAGGGTGTGTGTGTCAGAAAACAGGGTGCCAATGTTTTTTATGTTTTTTTAAAGGCCCATGGAAACACATCTATAATAAATCAAGCTTTTATATCATTTCCAAACAAGTTAAAACTAAGGATCACAATTAAAAAAATAAACCTCTATCAAAATGCGTGTATAGCTTCCAGTGGGATTTCAACAATTTCCATCCCACTCCAATCTCAGCCTGGACCAGACCACACAAGAGATCCACTTCCTGGACACTATAGTACAAATCAGTGATGGTCACATAAATAGCACCATATACTGGAAACCTACTGACCTCTAGACCTACCTACACATCTCCAGATTTCATCCAAAACATATCACACGATCTAGAGTCTACAGCCAAGCCCTAAGATTCAACCACATTTGCTCCAATTCCTCAGACAGAGACAAATGCCTACAGGATCTCTATCAAGCATTCTTAAGACTACAGTACTCGCCTGAAGAAGTGAAGAAATAGATTAATAAAGCCAGGTGGATACCCAGAAGTCTCCTACTACAGGAGAGACCTAACAAAGAAAGCAACAGAAGGTCATTAGCCATTACCTATAGCCTCAGCTAAAACTTCTCATACACATCATCAAGGATATACAACCTATCGTAAGCGATGATCCCTCACTCTCACAGACCTTGGGAGGCAAGCCAGACCTCGCTTACAGACAGCCCCTCCAACCTGAGACAAATACCACTAACTTCATACCCCACAACAGAAACACTAATCCAGGAACCAATCCCAGCAACAAACGCGGTTGCTATCTTTGTCCATACCATCTACCTGCAGGACACTATCACTGAACCCAACTATATCAAAGGCTCATTCACTTGCTCATCTACTAATATGATATATGTCATCATGGGTCAACAATGCCTCTCTGCCATGATCATCAGACAAACTATATTCTTTCTATTCAAAATAATAAATGGACATAAATCGGACATTAAAAATGGCAACATAAAAATCAGTAGGGGAGCACTTTAACCTCCCTGGGAAAACACTTTCTGACTTGCAAGTCGCCATTCTCAGGCAAAAAAAGCAAAACCAAACCAAACCCCTTCAAAAACAGACTGCAAGGAGAGACTGCTGAGCTGGAATTCATATTCAAATTTGACACTCTGAAAAGAGGTTTAAATAGAAACATGGAGTGTGCCTCACTTTACCCCAAATAATTTTCCCTTTAGGTACCCTCCCCTTCTCATCACTGTCGGAGATGAACAACATGCACTCTGATTTAATTAGTACTGATGTCAGACTCCCATCTCTGTATCCTTTCCTCTACGCTTCAAGCATCTGAGGAAGGGAGTTCTATCTCACAAAAGCTTATACCCTTTTGCCCTAATACATTTGTTAGTCTTTAAAGTGCCACCAGACCCCTTGTTGTCCAAGCAACCATCGGTCTCTCTTGAAGACCTTACACATTTTAATCTTGTGTTGTGTTTTTGGATCATGAGCATTTATTATTACATTTGGCTCATTATAAAAATTGGAAAATGTCTGATTCTTATGCTAGCAAACACACCTAACCTTTCTGTGAGCTGAAGATCTGCACAAAAATTATTTTTAATACCATGACTTACTTTTCAAGTCAGGAATACTTTGTTCAGCACCAGTACAAGACTGAACTGGAATGGGAGGAAAATTGGTAGAATTTCACAACAGGGCACATGACAAAGTCCATCATCTTCCTCAGATCCTATTGTGTGGGCCTAGGCACGTTACATAAACAGTATTACACTAATGCGCAGCTAGTACTACTGCTCACTGTTCTCTCCTACCTGTTTTGGAGAGACTATGCATAAAGTATCATGTCATGTCACTGCTTGGGCAGTGTAGAGTCGGTCTTTGTCTCACTCACACACACAAATAGAAGGATTACTGTAATAATTCTAAAATTCGGGTCAGTGCTAATGCTAATATGCACAGGATAATAACTAACGAACCCCCTTGCCATCATGCCAAGTAGGTAATGGACACTCCACAAGAGTTAATCATGGTAATCTTTTCACTGGTGAAATGGAGTAATTTGCAGAGGGCTTCGTAGCTGATATGCACACAAATTTACATCTTTTCCAATTGAATATAAATGCCTAAAGCCTCAGCATTGCCTTGTAACCTTTGCTAGATGTGCAAAAAACTGCTTTTTGTTTTAATTCTGATGAATTAAAGATGCCATTTTCTCAGCTTTGTCCTCATCCTAAAGTTACAGGGAGAGAACAGCTATGGGCCCTATTTTATGATTTTGGCCTCTGGCTGAACTTGTAGACAGCTGCGCAACAGTGCAACATTAGAGTAAATTCTTCAAGGGATGTACACTAGAACCTGCCAGCTACAAACATCAGAGTTACGAGCCGATCGGTCAGTCACAAGCCTCATTTTGAACCAGAAATTGAGACAGCAGCAGAAACCATTTAAAAAAAAAAGAAGAAGAAAAAAAGAACACTCAGTACAAGTTGAAACTGAGACTCTGGTCTGGTAACATCTGTGGCCTGACAGGACCACCGATGTTCCAGGACCAGAGAATCCCTGTAGAGGGCTGGTGCCTGGGAGCCCTGAGGGTTGGCAAGGCAGTGAGAGCTTGGCACGTGGCAGTGAGACTGCCTGGCAGGGCAGAAAGGGACCAAGGGAAGGGGAGGGCTGGCTGGGAGGCCGGCAGCCCGGACAGAGCTGAGGAGGCCAGTGGCATAGGGGCCAGAATGATCTCCCATCGTCCGGCAAAATCCCTCGTCCAAGGGTGTCTGACCAGGGAGGTCCAACTTGTATTGTGCTAAACAAACAACTAAACAAAGGGACAGTTTAAAAAACATTTGACAAGGTAAAGAAAGTGTTTCTGTGCTCGTCTCCTTTAAAATACGATGGTTAAAAGCAGCATTTTTTTTGTACATGTTTAGGTTGATAAAGTCAAGCACTCCAAAGTAGTAAATGCCAGCCTGAAGACTGCCTGTACCACATCACTTTGGCCCTGCTGTGCATATGTATTGCATCACAGTGTTTAATTATATGTTCATAAACTATTTTTTCCATTGTACCCAATCTTGCTCACTGAGCCTGCACTCAGTATTTCTTTTTGTCCTCATATATGTGGCCTCAGGCGGGGTTGATTGCACATCATTCAAACTGTGCGTGAAATTATGAATTTCTTCCTGATGCTGTGACAACACTGTACAAAGGCTTTACAAACATTCATTAATTTAACTTCACTACACTCTTCTGAGAGTCGATGTTGCTCTTCTGTCCCCCTTTGAACAGCTGAGGAACTGAGGCCCAGAGAGAGTAAAGCCAAAACTGTCAAAAGTGTTTCCTAATTGAGGGAGTCTCAACTTGAGACACCTAGACTGAGTTCTCAAAGTCTTTCGCATTTCTGCAACACATGGTGAAAGCACAGAGCCAATCAACTTCAACTGTTGCCACGAGCGCTCAGCACTCCTTCTGACTTGGCTAGAGGGGTCTCAAGCGGGGGACACAGAAAACAAGGAACACACAGTTTGTGACCATCTGTGCAAAGCTGGGTTTGTGTGACTTGCCCAGCATCATATCGGAACTCCATGGCAGAGCAGGTTCAGACAGTCAACAGCTTCCTTCATTCTAGACTAGTGGGGCTCAAACTTCTGTCCATTCCTCCCCCCACTCTCCAGTTATTGCACAAGAGGCGGTTACTCAGCTCGATAGTAACCCTGTGTAAGTGCACAGTACTTGTTGGAGGACCACGTGGCAACTGCGCAGATGTCTCTTATGGGTACTTAACAGAGGAATGCTATCGAGGTAGCCATGACTCTGGTTGAGTGTGCCCACTTGTGCTCTGGAGGCTATCTGACTGTGTGCAGCAAAGCCTGATGCAATCTGAGATCCAGTGGGAGAGTCTCTGTGATGAGACGGCCTGGCCTCTATTACGGTTTGCTATTCAAACAATCTGGAGGACGCTCGGAATGGTCTTGCTTGGTACAGATAAAAAGAGAGAGCTCTGTGCAGGTCAAGCTATGCATTTTCATCTCGAAAGAGTTGGTGTGTGGTGTGGGGAAGCAGGTGGGAAGATGTATTGTATGACTGAGGTGGAAGGATGAGTGTACTTTGGGGAGGAATTTGGGATGGGTACGTAAAGTGACCTTGTCTTTAAAAAAAAAAAGGAGGTGTATAGGGGGTCCGTCATTAGCGCCGTGATCTCTCCTACCCATCTGGCTGACATAATAGCTACAAGGAAAACACTTTTCATGGACAAATGTAGTAATGAGGTGGTCGCCATTGGTTCGAAGGGCGACCTAGTTAGAGCATTCAATACTAAATGCAGGTCCCACAGTGGAATGATGTCTGGATAAAGTGCCTGCAGGCCCTTTAAGAACCTCTGGGTGAGTGGATGAGCAAATATGGACGAGTTGTCTATCTTGGAATGGAACGTAGTGCTGCGTTCTCCTGCTGTGTCGGCAAGATCGTACCACTGTGCTGAGATGCCGGGCCACCACCACTCTCAGCACCAGCCGTGAGGGGGATGCCGTTTCAGTGCCATAGCCCCTTGAGGTGCGAGGCAGCTCGTTTTTTGGCAGGCTTTTTGGATCCCTGCTGCTTGAGTTCCTCGGGCTG